GGCCGGCCCTCTGCCTTTATTTTTAACATCGTCCACACCACTGTCAGATTTCTTTCTAAAATACTTATGACCGTGCCACTCCCTTGCTTAAATCATCACTTAGCTATCTTCATCTTTAGCAGCATTTCCCAAAGTTTTTTATGTGAACCCTTGGTATTACCTGTGATGATTTTAGGTGGTAGATGGGCAAACATTTTTCATTTTTGCTAGTTATGCTTTTATCTGAATTTGTAGTAAAACGCATAGGTTTTCCATTTATGACAGTGATACCTAAATTTAGTGTAAATTTATTTAAAAAGTCAGTCTAGTTAAGGAAAAATGCTAATAAAAATAGTACAGGGCCTATTTACAAACGTTAAAAGTAATGAATACTCAAATACTAGAAGTAATGAAATTTCTTGCCTTCAGGATAAGTTCCAGAATCCTCAGCATGGCATGCAATTTGGCCCTAAACTGTTTAATTTCCTAGTCACACAGCATCAAGCATACAGAATTTCTTGCTATTCTGATAATTATTAATTCAGTAAGTACAAAATGTCTACTTTGAGCCAGGCACTGTTCTAAACTTTGCAGCTATAGTCATAAATATGAGTCTGTGACATAAGGATTACATTCTAATGGGAAAAACAAACAAGGTAACTAAGGATTCAGATTTAAGTTCTGTGAAGGCATAAAGAGAGTGAAGGATAGGACAGAGAAGACTCCTTTGGGTGACGATAGTATTTTAGGGAGACATAAAGGATGGGGTTGAACTAATCAGGTGAAGAGCTGGAGTAAGAGCATCAGGAACACAAAGTTGCAAAAGTCCTGACATGGGAAACAGTACATACAATACAACAAAGCTGAGGGAAAGCGTAGGGAGAACTTAATGTGTGAGGGGGAAGAATGGTGGTGGGAGAGGTTGGAGACATAGGCAAGGCAGGCTGTGAGTTTGAATTTTACTCGAAGTGCAAAAATAATTCAAGGAAGGGTTTTAAACAGGAACGTGACCAACTAATTTTGAAAAAGATCACACTACCTACTGTGGAGAATAGATTGTCTCCTAGTCTCAATACAAGTGCACTGACTGGAAAAACTACCCAGTCTTACTTAAAGGCTCAGTTCAAACCGAAGCTGTCCCTCACATGGACTTTCCTTACACCCAGTCCGTATTAGGCACTTTCTTTGTACTGCCATAGTGCTTTGTGATAGCAATTATCACTAACAAATGTTAATTATGATTGTTGATAATGCAATTATTTTTCCTCGTATTGCCAGCGGCTCCTCTAATATTAGACACACACATATATATATAAGCGCATTCATAACCGTTTGATTAAAAAATTAATAAATAAGTGAATCCGCAGCCTATTGTTTAAGGCCTATGTCGGGGTTCCAGAATTTGGGGGCAATATGGGTTTTGCCTCATCTCCTAGGTTCTTAAATGTGAAATACCTGCACGATGCTCAAAAAAGCTAAAACTATTTTGTTTGAAACCGTGACTTTTTTTTTTTCTTTTAATTCCCAGAGGTGGCAGGACGAGTTTGGGAATTTATATTTAAAAAAAAAAGTTGGTTTTATCTGTCTCACCAATCGTATTTCAAGACAGCTAGGTCTGTTAGTTTCTTTAAGAGAGAAATTCGGTGCCATCACTGTATGTTCCAGAAACAGCTCTTTGAGCCAGCATTGCTGACTGAACCATTTTTAAAAAATGCTTCCATTACGGACACCCGGCTGCTCCCAGGAACAGGGTACAGGCCTGGAAACTTGGAGAGAAAAAACATCTCTCAAACTTCCATTTCCTAGTATGGGTGAAAACAGACGGAAGGCAGCCATCTACTTGTACTTGAAATTTGGCTGAGCTCCACTGTCAGTAGTCTTTCTCCACGGCAGCCCTAGATAGGAGAAAGCCACCGTCTCCGCCTACCCCTAGCTTGTCTCTCACAGCACGACTGCTCTCAGCTCACGACCTACTCAAGATGGCTACAGGAACACTTCCGGCTCTTCCCGAACTAGGCCCGCCTCCAGGGCGTGCTTTCACCGCGCCGTGGGCGGGACTTAGAGTAAGCTTTTGATTGGTTCTCTTGACTGGTGACCTTTCCCCTCCGCGACAGTTTCCCGAGATGCTTAGTTCCTGAGCGGCACAGACGAGAGTTAGAACGAAGGCAAGATGGCGGACGTACTGGATCTTCATGAGGCCGGGGGCGAGGATTTCGCCATGGATGAGGATGGGGACGGTGAGGACAGTGGAGGCGGCTGCGGGAAGCGGGGAAGGTGCGACAGAAGGGCGTAATAGGACAACATAATTTCCCTTCCCAGCAGGGAGGGTAGGAGCCGGGTTTCGGTTGGCTTGGAGACTCCGCCCCCTTCGGGAGGCCTGTGGGCGGGACTGGGAAGGGACTGGGACTGGGACTGGAGGTCATGGGGGTCCGTTTTCAGATATTGTCTTGGGAGACAGATTATTGTAAATGTTAATCTTTGTTACTTACTACTCTTTACTTATGGGGCTCAGAAAGCATCCACAAACTAAAGGAAAAAGCGAAGAAACGGAAGGGCCGCGGCTTTGGCTCCGGTGAGTGTTTGTTTGTGTGGGGAAAGTGGGGTCTAGAATGGCTAGAGCTACGGGTTTTGGAGTCCCTCTTCAGAGTCATGGGGAACAGTGGCAGAAGGGGGCATTTCCGGTGATCTCGTGTATGTTTCCTATAGAAGAGGGGTCTCGAGCGCGGATGCGTGAGGATTATGACAGCGTGGAGCAGGATGGCGATGAACCTGGACCACAACGCTGTAAGTAAAATGGAGCTTGTAGGTATCTGTGTCTGTAGAGAATTAGGGACCAAGAAAATAAAACTCAGAAGGAAAGGGGTGAGAGATAGCTTAACCAGTCTCTGGAGCTTGCACTCTACTCCTGTGATCTTGCTTGAAGTTTTTCTCTCATGGGCTCAAACAACCTCCCTCCTTTCTCCGACAGCTGTTGAAGGCTGGATTCTTTTTGTCACTGGAGTTCATGAAGAAGCCACCGAAGAAGACATCCATGACAAATTTGCAGAATATGGGGAAATAAAAAACATCCACCTCAACCTGGACAGGCGTACAGGATACCTGAAGGTATCCTAAGTTACACTCCATTGCCTCTCTTCCACCCTTAGACAGCATTGGTAGATCTCCCATGTTTGGTGTGGTTGGCCGTGAGCAAAGTCGAAATAAAATAACATTGGAAATTTTGTTAGAGACAGAAACAGACAAACATTGTAAATACAGAAGGGATATACTGGTGTGGGGTTGGGGTGGGGAGGTGCCAAAAAAATGTATACACATAGCTTGTATTTATCTTTCGTTATCGGTATATATTGAGTATTAACAATTTTAATACGGTTTCTCCTTTCTTAAAATGTGTATACTTTTTTTAAATTTATTTTTTGTGAAATATTTCTTTAATTAGTTTCAGCTGTACAAGAGTGCAACAGTTATACTTTTTACCCCTCAAAGTGACAACCCTCCTCCCCCAATCCGCCGCCCCACTCCCCATCCCCTNCTTTACACTATAGTATAGCTCAATGCACTTTCTAAACTGAACTTGGGAAGTTGAATGTGCCTACAATTAGACTTTCCATTGAACGATTATACACTTTGCTTTCAGAAATAGGTTAAGAAACAGGCCACAGTTTGTTCTTTTGGATCAGATAGGGGCAAGATGGAAGTAAGCTTTCTTGCTTTTGACATCATCTTGGTGACCAGTACATATGGGATCAGAGGTAAGGACTTGAGCAACAATTGTATTAGTTCTTGAAATGGACTTCCTTGAATTCTCCAAGCCCCTTCTCTGTATTCTGTGAAGCACATGTAGGGTTGGAGCAGAGGACCCTACGTTAAATAATAGGTGTGTCTGTTCACGTTTTATTGATATTTATAATCCGGAAATCACACGCCCTCATCTCTCCTATGCTCCTTTCTCTGGGAAGTGTGAAGGGGTGTGAGTTGTGGGAAGAACTTGTCCTTGGCCTCTTGGATTTAGTATTTTTCTTGAATACCAACAAGTAAGATCTCAAAGGACTTGAGAAAAATTGTTCCCTGATCTGTACACTTTTGGCGTTAAAGATTTTACTTACCTTTTTAGTACTTGCTATGTATTTTATATGTATAATTTTATACAATTAAAAATGGATTTTTGTCTAGTGGGCCAGATTGAATCTTTCTTGAGACCTGTGTATCAGAGGAGCTCTAAAATGACCCTTTCTCTTACATATAGGTAGACTAAAAAATAATTTTTTATTAGTATTTTTTTGGGTGGTAGAAATAAGATTGTACTGCTGGGGGAAGACATTTTGCCTCCCCTTCTCCAGACATTTGAGGAGCCTGGATTTTGTCCTTAGTCCTTTCTCCTTGAGCTCTACCCATTTCCACTGGCAATCTCACCCATTATGGTGGTTGAAACTGTATCATACACATGATTCTCAAATCTATTTCTTCCACCCCAACCAGTTTTGAGTCATTACATTTATATTTCCACATATTGGACATCACCACCCGCATATGACAAGCTCTGTAAACTCACATATCCAAAATAAAACCGAATTCGCCATACACGCTCCCCTCTGACTCCCCAGATCTGTTATTGGAATTATCTACCCAGTAATCTAAGCCAGAACCCCAGATCTATCCTCAACTCTTCCCTACCATCACCTAACAAGTCACTTACTGTTGAGTTTACTTCCTATGTGAACATCCTAATCTGTTTTGTCTATATTTACTGCCTTAGTTTAGTCCTTGATCATCTCTGGGCTGGTCCTGTACAATAGTTTCCTAACTAGTCTCTGCCTTTATTAATTTTTTTTTTAAGATTTTTATTGGGGAATTGGGGGATGGGAACAGTGCTGGGGAATTGGGGGAAGGGGAATAGACACGTTGCTGTCGTTTTGTTCTTCAGTCTAGCTGTGGAGGACGCTGC